TTCATTAAGATCAGAGCTTCTTTTTTACTTTGTCTTTATTGTTATTGAAGCTATTGTGCGTAAGTGTAAAATGAGCAGCACAACGCGGTGATTGCTCATCATCTGTTACAGCTTTCAGACGTGAGCCGTTACATGTCCAAATTTCTGCCATAAAGAGACTACCTTTCGTTGGCATTTTTTTATGATTCCTATGCTTATTCGCAATATTTTTAAGAAAAAAAAATGACAAGTACCTAAATACGGGTGCTTTAACTCCTCAAGAAAGTACTCATCGCAGAGTTACTAGCAGAGTGACAAAATAGAAGAGCAAAGATCATGGGAAGCTTCAAGTTCATGACAAAAATCCAAAATCAGGGGCAAGTCGTATGGAAGATTACATGCAATGGATTAATTCTAGAGCACTTTGATAATTATACACCTCGCGTATGACATCTATCAACAGATATAAGGGCACGGCAGGACCGCCAGAATGCATCCGACTAATCCATTCACCTTCTTTACGCAGGTGAGAAAACGGTATGACAAGTGTTTTCGGCCAAATAACGTGTTTTTGGTTGTGCTGCCGTGCCCAGGGCTGCTTGTTGAGCTGTTGTGTGAATGTGTTGATGTTGCTTTTAACAAAACATTACTGTTAATATGTGGTGATATTGAAACAAACCCCGGTCCCGATATCACTACTTTTTCGAAGCAACTACAACTGATTGCTGATGACCTGAAAGAAATCAAGCAAGAACGTTTACCCGCAATTGAATCGAAGTTGGAATTGCTTACGGCATTAGATGGCAAAATAGAGGCTTGTGTTAGTGACTTGGCTAGATTGCAGAAAACTATATCTACCCTCGAACTTAAGATCGACGATCTGGAAAATCATTCCAGAAGGTGAAACATCATCATTTATGGTGTAACTGAAAATTAAAAAGAAAGTGACGATTCCCTTGAAAAAGCTGTAAATGAAACAATCGTCAAAAACATTCTGAAAATGGAGCCAATCCCTTGCGAAAAAGTTCACAGAGTTGGGAAACCTGCGGCCAAAATACGCGACCGATAATCTTGAAACTTGCCGACTTTCGAGACAAAACTAGGGTATTTAAAAACTGCCACAGGTTGAAAGGGACCACATATTCCATAAGTGAAAATTTTTCAGCTCGTATTCGGGACATAAGAAGGAAACTCTGGAACTATGGTAAAACAAAAAAGCAGGCTGGAGACAGCGTTTCTTTATGACAAACTTATGACAAACTTTCTTATGACAAACTTATGACAAACTTTCTTATGACAAACTTCATGACAAACTTATGACAAACTAAGAATAAATGGAGAGTTGTATTTCTGAGATGAGTGTCAAAAAAGTGTGGTACCTTTAAAGGGACAGTCGGGCATCCCCAGTTCGAAAAAAAAAAAAACCAGCAAGGCGAAGCGAAGTCTCTACGCTCGTGACGAGCTGTGAAATAAACTTTATAAATTCAAATGCACGCAGTATTGTTAACAAAGTAGATTCCCTAGAATCGGTCTTAATTAGCCTTGAACCAGATTTTGTTGCTGTGAAAGAAACATGGCTAACACATGATATCACGGATGTTGAATTGACCCCACCAAATTATTCAGTAGTGCGAAAAGACAGACAGACACGTAGCGAGGGTGTTGCGATATTTATAAAAAAGGGTATCTCTTTTTTAAGACTTCCTGATGTAGAAAATGTTGAAGCTATCTTCTGCAAACTAATGTTGACCCAACACCTGGTCACGGTGGGGTGTGTTTACCGCTGCCCCTCATCTGATTGTAGCGTCACCCGTTCACTATATGACTATCTACAACGTCATGTGCCATGCGGCCAGCTAATCTTATTGGGCGATTTCAACCGACCCGATATTGATTGGAAAGCCACGCACTTCCCATCGGCATCCTCAGAAACAATAAGCGATATCATGTTGCACTTTAACCTAAATCAGATAGTTACTCAGCCCACGCGAACTAAGGGAAACGCATCAAATATTCTTGATCTGACATTTCTCAGTCATCACTTTCCATTTGAAAACATAAATTTACAAATTTTGGAAGGTGTATCAGATCACGAAATAACATATTGCACCATCCGCTCACAAACCCATGTGCCTGGTGCTGAAAGTAGTAGCACATTTTACGATTTTTCAAACGCTGATGACGTTAGTATTATCGATTACCTCAGCATTGCATTCATCGCATTTGAAGAACTTTCTACAAACAGTTCTATAGATGTAGATGCGTTATAGAAAAAATACACGGACATTGTGTTTTTCAGTCTTCAAAATTATGTACCAGTGAAGACGAAAAAGGCAAAGAAAACAAATCCGTGGATTACACGCGAAATAATCCACACTAAACGAAAAGTAAAAAGGCTACGTAAAACCCTGAAGCTAAAGACGACGTACGCGAACAAACACGCCCTTAACGCATCTATAAAAGATATGAAATCAAAAATCAAGGCAGCTAAGAATAACTATTTTTCTAAGACTCTGTCTAACTTCTTGAAAAGCGTACCTCAGAAGTTCTGTAGTTACCTGAACCCAAAACGCCATGAAAGCCCCGCCACTGACAGCGAGGATAACAGAAACACTGCAAACTTTTTTAACTGTTATTTTTAGTCAGTATTCAACATCGACAATGGAAAACAACCGAATATATTCCCATATGACCGAAATCTGATCAAGCCACTCGAAATCACAGATTCAGGTCTGTTAAACCTTTTGTTGAACATTGACACAAAGAAAGCGATTGGACCTGATAACATATCCAATTTGTTTCTTAAGAGATATGCGAAGTGGAACAGTAAATACCTGTGTCACACCTTCAAAAAATAATTAACGACGTATTCACTTCTTGCAGAGTAGAAAATTGCTAAAATCATTCCAATTCACAAATGTGGTAGCACATCACAGGTGTCTAACTTCAGGCCCATTTCCTTAACCTCGACCGTGTGCAAACTTCTTGAACACGCAGTACTTAAACATATAAACACGTACCTTGAACAGGAATCTATTTTTTCGCCCTGTCAACATGTCTTCCGTCGCGGTCTCTCAACAGTCACACAGCTACTAGAACTAACGCATGACATATCACAATGTGTAGATTATAGGAAACAAACAGACGTAATTTTATTGGACCACCTAAAGGCTTTTGATTGCGTACCGCACAAGAAACTAATCAGGAAGCTTCAGTGTACAATAGGTGAAGGCCCTATTGTTAATTGAATAGAGAACTATCTGACTGACCACTTACAATTCGTGCATATTCATAACGAAAATTCCACTTTAGCATCTGTTACGTCGGGAGTGCCCCAGGGCCGTGTATTAGGTCCTGTCTTATTTCTGCTGTATATTAATGATTTGCCTTCTAGATTGAATGTTAACATCCGGCTATTCGCTGATGATTGTATCTTGTACCGTGAAATTAATTCCATTGATCATCACCATGTACTGAATAATGCACTTGAGTCTGTCTTTTGTTGGTGTGAGGAGTGGCAAATGACTCTCAATGCTAAGAAATCCGTTACGCTTACTGTAGCTAGAAAGAGAGCAATATCTGATTTCACGTACACTATTAATGACACACCTCTTACTCGCGTATTTGAACATAAATATTTAGGCGTAACTTTAAAGCACGATCTTCGATGGGAAACCCATGTCAACAATATAACCTCAAGTGCACTAAAGTGGCTTTTATTTTTGAGAAGACGCCTTCATCTGGCACCCTTAAATACAAAGCTGCTGGCATACAAGATGCTTGTCAGACCAATGTTAGAATACGGCAATATTGTTTGGTTTCCGTACAAAAAGGAACGAATTGCAAGAATCGAAGGGGTGCAGAGGAAGGCAGTAAGGTTCATTTATAATAAATATAGGCAAATGGATTCTCCTACAGAATCATTACACAAAGCTGGTCTGTCAACACTACAAAGTCGGGCGAAAATAGCAAGACGAAAGTTTTTGTTCCAGTTAATTTATGGAGACATAAACACCGACGCGTCAAAACTAATCTCTTTCATTTGATCTAGGTTAATACGTTACCGGCACTCTCAAGCACTTAATGAATACACTTTTCCTTCAAACTGCTTTAAATATTCATATTTCCCGCAAACCATAAGAAATTGGAACCAACTTAGCCCTTCTGTTACGAACACTTCATCTTTGAATGTGTTCTTAGATATGGTAGAAGCAAAGGTACACGCTGAGGAGTTTTTCTGAAAATTGTTGTTCTTTTTCTTTTCTTTTGTCTTTTTGTAATTCGTATGCAGGCTCTGTATATTGATAACGTGATTGCATCATTGTACATTTTGTCTTTATAGTTGTTGTAATTCGTAGTTTTGCAGAGATTTGTACCCTCACCTTGCTCATCGCTACTACTGCTACTCATGTATCGATTGCTTATTGTTTTGCGTGCTAGAAATGATTGCTTCATGTTTCTTTTCTGTATCATATGTATGCCCTCCCTGCAATAATCTCCTTGTGAGATCGGCAGTATTGTTAAATAAATAAATAAATAAATATTCTAGGAGGCTTACAATTGAATGTAAACAGTACCTACACGGTAATATTTCTTATGTAGTACTTCTTATCCATGCGTACATATGGCAGGTATTGAATCCATGTAGCTCTTCATTCATGATTTCGATTTGGTACTGAATAACTTGGTTCGCTTACAATATGTCAAAATGTGTATATGGTTGGTTGTCATCTTATGGTGTAAGAATATTTGTTTTTCAAACATGTGAAATTCTGTTCAAGTTTTTTTTTTCGTCCACAGAGAAGCCTTACTAAGGCACACGTTACGTCTCAATGCGCACACCTAATCTATGCTCATTTTTATTTTTATTTTTCTGATGATGATAGTGTCGCCAAAGTATCGATGACAGCCACACTTCTCACAATGAAGAACAGTGTAAGTATTGGAAGATACACTAATATGTTCTTGGAGCTTTGTTGAAGGAATGCGTGGCAGAATACAGTAAAAATCACAATACGTACATCGTTATAATGGCCGTCTTGCTGAAGAGAAATTTTCAGAAAAATGTGGTGGTGAACCTAGCCATCGAAATATTGGTCCACAGTAGAGCTGGTCACGTGAAGCTCGTTCGCCGAAAGCCTGGGCTGCGAATCAAACATGCATAAAACTATCGCATTTGTAATGTGGTTCATCATCCGGCTAAAGTACCGTTCTGAATGTTTTTTTTTTTCTACAGTGAGTAGTGGGAAGAAGGGCTTGACTAGATAATGCATATAACTGCTCCTGCAAGGAAAACGAGTATATAAGTAGCCGAAAATTCTAATAATTCTCGCTGCCCCACAAGCGTGAATCGGACACCAACAGTATGACGTTGTACTTATAAGCTTCCAGGCATATTCGCTTTTTTTTTTCGGAACTACTGAATTTTGAGCGCCACATCCTACGTGCACGTCTGCTTTGCTTCCACAACATTTAACTGTGAAACGCTTCTCCAAGCACGCTTGCAATATTCGTTTCAAATCAGGGGAAATTCGGAGGAATGTTTTTGTCTGCAACAAGGTTTGAAAGAGCGTTGCTATCTGTGTTGTAGGTTTGTTCATAGCTAATAATGTGTTTGTTTCAAACTGATAATACACAGCCGTGGCCACGTCTACGTAGAGCACGCGAGCAGCCTGTTTCCGCTCTGCGGGCTGAAACCCTGAGGTAGTTTAAGACTCTGAAGAGGTGTATCAGGAGCATGCACGGCTTAGTTGTCAGACTGAGCACGTCAGAACCTAATACTGCCCCAAGGTATCGCCCCGCAGAGCGAAAACCGGCTGTTCGCGTGCTCTACGTAGACGTGGCCGCGGCTGTACTTTACTGTTTGTTGATTTTAACACGTTCTCAATTCAATGGCATAGTAGGTAGTACTAACACTTTAGCAATTGCCTGTAAGATCGTCTGACACCTTCTCATCAGTTGAAACACATGAAACAACGCTATATCTACGCATCTATAAGCAACTACCAATATTTTATAAACTGCGTTACATTTTTCATTCACACACCCTATACGCACTGTTTATATCAGTTTTATACATTCACGCGTTACATATGACATTAGTAAATACGGACTCGCATACCCCACCACTTTATGGCCAATCATCACAGCACAGAACACAGCGCTTCGAGCTATTCTCTTCCTAAAACGTACAGATTCGATTACATTTAAATGCCCAATATTCTTAGTGTGAAACGCTGCATTGATTACCATTTTTTTGTGTTGCTGTATAAAATCTCGCACAGTATTGTAGTGCATCCTTCTGTGAAAAATAATTACCAAAACAACCCATACCCGATACAACCAACTATCTCCAGTACTTTAAGCATTCCGAAATCTCGCATGAAATGTGGATTGTTTACAATCGCACGTGCCACATCACATTTTTGGAAAAGCTACCCATAGACTTACAGAATGCCAGTCATTTACCTGCTATAAAATTAACCTACATTATTTCATTCTCTCATCAAATGATTGAATAGAATGTCTCATACTACCGCAATTATACTCCCTTCTTGCGCGCTCTAGTGTTTGTATAACATGATATGACATAAGGGCCCCTTCATAACTCCTCTGCGAGTTATGGGGCCCAGCCTTTATAACAAAACTGATGTATATATCTATTAATGAATGAATGAACGAATAAATGAATGAATTATTGAATGAATAAACGAATGAATGAATGAATCAATCAATCAATGAATGAATAAAAATGCCTAGAGATAGATGGCCATGCTGCCACGTACTGAGGCTTGAGATTCGCGTAAGTTCACTGCTACGCAGTTTTTTATAGTCAATGGAATGCCACCATTGAGATACAATTTTTTTTATGTCACTTATATGTTACATATAGACGCCGCTTTTCAAAGAGTCGTGAGCATTCTTTTTACTAATGTTTGGTGGAATGGTGGAATTAATGTTTGCAATCATCATTATCTACGTCACATATCTACGCGGCCTCGATATGACATGTTAACCATGTTGTTGTCAGCATGAATCTTATAACATGTCTTGTGTATTTGTTTCGCGTGCGCCGTACTCTCGTTGATTATCTGTAATGATTTTTTTTATTCTAGTGTGCTGTATGTTGAATATAAACTACGCGACGGCACAGGACACAAGAAAGCGGCACATTTCAGGTCCCCGTCTTTCATCATGTCCCTTTACGCTGTATATTCACAAATGTATTTTAAGGGCTCTTCAAGTTCTCAGTGGTGCGAATATTTCATGTGTTGTTTGTTACCAGTATTCTCTGCAAACATCGATGAAATTAACTCATTTCATTAGGTCAACGTTGATGCCAAATAAATTTTATGGCAGTTCCTCTAGCGAATGGGGTTTTATTCTGATCGTTCGGAGAAAAGAATTTCGCAAGTGATTGTGTTCATGTACACAACTGATGAATTTCATAAAGTCTCCACAAAACGACCATTCAACATTCTACAAGATCTGCACGTACCTCTTCAACACACCAAGTGACTAAATGTGTGCGGAAACTGTACTCATTACGTGCTTTAGCATGAACACTGGCCACTTAAGTTTTCGTACGAAGCACTGTACGTCATGTATGACGTGAGCACCGCACATCACTTTCGTTTTTAGCCATGTGTACTTTTTAAAGGGGTATTAATACTATAAATAAAGGGGTATTAAACTAACTTAAGTACCTCGGAATTCCTTCAAAATTCCAATTTCGTTCATTTGCAGAACAATCGCAACTACTAGTGCAGAAAAAAAAACGAACCTTTTTTTGCGTTCTGATACCTCGAGGCTTGCAAGGAAGAGTGAAGAATCATTTCAGGGTATTTTTAAGTGTGTGAGCCATTTCAAGAAATGTAATGTGTTCTCAAAATTTGCCAGACCGAGTGTCTCGCTCATCGGGAATGTAAATCAGCTTTTTTTACTAATTGAGCTTTAACTGGACATGAGTGATTGCGGTCGAAATTTGGGATGTTGATGGCGATAAGGTGCGGGCGCCTCAGGTGGGGCATCGCCAATTGTATTTCTTCCCTTTGTTGTCTCTCTCTTACCTCGCCTCCTCTCACGGCAAGAGTGGTCTTCTTGCTATTGTAGGTGCATAAGTTAAAAACAGCTGAAGGTATGGTCCTTCTTTAGGTGCCCATTCAATTATAAGTTCATAGTGATCACCATAACGTGTAGTTAATTAAATGTTGTACCACTTTTTGCAGACTTATTAACAACTTAATAGGGACCAACGCATCACGGCTGCCACAAAGAACAAAGAGGAGGTGTCCATGCCCCGGGTTCCATTTTACAGGGGCATACTCGAGCAGCATAGGTGACGAAGCTGACTGGATCACCAAGAAATTTCATCGTTTTCTGCCCGAGCAAGCAGGTGCCTGTGAATGTTCTAATAGCACGAAATCACCTGCTTCTGCACAAGTTGCAAGTATTCGATCTTCAGGCAATGGCGAATAGAAGAATTTCAACGTTGAAAACACCATATTGTACTGAAAAAAAAAGACTGTCAAAGGTAGCAATATTTGGTTAATGTAGTTTCTGCGTTTATGTATCATCATTCAAAGGTACTAGTAAGCGTCTCGAGGGCTCACTTACCGGTACCAGCTTGTAAAAGAGGTATTTTTATTTGCAGATAATGTTAGCGGGCTTGAAGGCTTTATGACCGTCGATTTTTCAATCGGTTATAGGTGTATGTCAGTAATGCACTCTCGCTCGGAGCCCACTAGGACCCTGTGTTTTACTGATAACAAAAAAGAAGAGTTTGATGAAAATTTTCGCGATTGCGTGCTTTGAAAGGCGTTTAGACGAAGTCTCGTAAGAGTGAGGATGTACTTGGTGCAGACAAGAGCTCGTAAGAGCGCGTGATTTGTATAAGTTAACAGTCAATATTTCGGTAACATATCCAAGGGTGAAGCATGTTTGGGGAAAAGATGTGAAAAAAATATTCTGCTTTGTTTTTATTCTATTTCAGAAGAACAAAGGAATGAATTTGCCTTGAGTGTCATCCGGGGATTCTCTATTCAGATGCGTTAAGCTGGCTGAACTACAGAACGTCGTCAGTGTTGAAGATCCTGGGACCGTGGCTACAACTGCGGCTGTCAGAAAGAGCTATTCCCGTGCACTTGAAGCTTTTCGAGTTCATCGACCTGAATGACGAGCTGCATGCTCTTGTGTGTGCGCATCGTTCAATCTCATCTTCTTCGCCTCTTTCTCTGCCACTTTCTTTTAGTGCATGTTTCGCTACATTACTTTTTTTCCTGTTCTCTCTCCAGATATCCTTCATATAAAATTTTATTAACAACTACTCACTGATAATGTGCAAGTCATCCTTGTATACAAACATGTTACAATTGCACCACAAAACGCGGCTAATCCGAAGGCGTTTTGTCCTGCCATTAGCCGCATTTTGTGATCGATTCACAATAAAAGTTTCCACTATCGTGTCCTTGAAAGTCAACCTTTGCTAATGTCTGCCACTATCAAAGCCGTTTGGGAGTCCGTTAGTGTCCAGCACTGCAAGCACTCTTTGGACGCACTGCCCTCGGAGCAGCATACTGTATGCAAACAATAAAGATCATGAAAGAGCAGATAAAGACAAGAAAATAACACAAAGGAAGACAGCGGATTAACACAAGATAAGCACTAGGGGGAAAATGGCGAATGAGTGCTCCGCGGTTGTTCGTACAGCTTTTACTCGGAATGGAACATATTGTTTTAAAAGTGTGGAGCATTTTAAGGGCCCGGCCAGCCGTCAATTCACTGTCTGAGGATATGTTTTTTTCATGCCTCACAATGAAGAATGTCTCATGTCGCATAATCACGCAGTGGGCAACACAGGCCTTAAACAAAACTAACAAAGCTCAAAACCAGTGCGAAATAAATAAAATTAGTAATATAAACTGGAGAAATAACCTTTATGATGACAATAATTGACCTAAAATCACGACAAACGATTCTGAAAGATCTAACTTATACGCCAGCAACGCAAGAGGGGGTGCCACCACCTCGACAAGTGCGCGGTTGCTAGATTGCTAGTGTTGTGGCCCCTCGGTCTCCAACCTAGCCCCCGTCCGAATAGGCTACCCCATTCGCACTCCCATTTCTTGATAATAAAGTTTATTCCCTCTCTTTGCCAAAGCGGGGGCAAGTATGCGGTTTCCAAGGGAAAGGTTGGGTTGCCCGTCTACGCACTTCCTCAGGTTTCACGGATTGTGCAGCTGAATTATGGGCAGAATTTAGAAGCGAACCGAGACACACACTAAAACGAAATTAGCGCAGCATACAGCACGATTAAGCTGAATTAAGATGATGTTAGCATTTTACTAGAATCTTGGAAGAATGCTAACATCATCTTAATCCACAAGAAAGGGAATGACAAGGACCTGAAGAATTACAGGCTGATAAGCTGGCTCTCCGTCGTACTACAAGCTATTGACAAAGGTAATTTCCAACAGAAATAAGACGTCAATAAAATTCAATCAACCGAAGTAACAAGTAGGATTTAGAACAGGCTACTCAACAATCGACCACATTCATACTATCGATCAGATGATAGAGAAATGCTCATAATACACCCCAACCACTACAGATAGCCTTCATATATTACGAGGAGGTATTTTATTCAGTTCGAATATCGGCAGTCACGCAGACACTGTGGAATCAGGGTGTCGATGAAACATATTGTTACGTATTGTTACGTAAGCAGACAAATCTGCTTCGTGTGCTCCCGGATCGGCCATATCTCCCGCCACTGCTGTAGCGGCTGGAATTCATCGCCTCGACCATATACTGACCATCGCTACGAACGCTCAGCTCGTCCTCTGTCGCCACACGCCGAATCGTCGTATGCTGACCCTGCCGCTCCTCTCCGGTTCATCACTAGCCGTTCGCCCTCTCCGCAGCGCCGTCAGTCCCGTTCGCCTACATCTCGGTGACCCCCGTCACCACCCTACCCAGGGCGTTCTTCGGGAAGCTAACCAATGCAGCCCCGGGAGGTGAGACTGCGTTGACGACTCTGACTGCAAAACCTCTGTTGACCCTCACCCATAAACGAAACCTAATCGAAGTTTTTGTTGATTATGTGTCCGTTAAAGCCCTCATTGACACTGGAGCTCAGATGTCGGTCATGCGCGCCGACTTTCAAAGCCGTCTTCGAAAAGTGCTAACGCCCACCTGTCCTACGAGTAGCCAACGGCAGCGCGTCATGGGAATGTGTACCGCCAGTATCGCCGACCACTCAACGTTAGTTCTCTGCTTGCCGAGTGCCCTCTCGAGGTGATCCTCGGAATGGACTTTTTCACTTTACTTATGTGATTCGTAAGAGAGAAAAGAAGATAAAAGTGAGCTCCGTAACTGTCTGCATCACAGTGCGACACCTCAACAATAGATCACGAGAAAGGGGGTAAGGAGGGATTAAAAGGATAGGATTAAAGGTATAGAGATAGAGAGGAGGAAGGAGAGAGCGTGGCGCAGGGACAGCGACTCCCAGAAGCAAGGAGAAGATAGGAAAGATGGACATGATTGCAAGAGTCCGAGGAGGGGGCACTACTCAGCGAGAGCTCTTGTCGGCGGCAGGAGATGGCGCAGGGCGAGCCAGTCAACCAGAGCTGCGCTGTTGTCAGAGATCCCGGGGGCACAACCGATCGGCACGAAACCCAGAGAGCGAGCTCCACCGCAAACTCGCTCTCTGGATTTCGTGCCGACTGGTTGTGCCCCCGCGATATCCGACGACTGCGCAGCTCGTTCTGCGCTCATTGACTGTTCAACCGGGATTATGAGGCTTGAGTTGCCCCAGTGCTGTGCCGACGCCAGCGCAGATGTCCAGCCTCGACTTCGCTCCTCTGACTTTGTTCGGCTGCAACCTGGCGCGGCGACTTATGTCCCCATGTCACCTTGCCCCCCACTTCAGGATGATACTGACGTCGTCTCTCCACTGTACACCGTCCTACTATAGAATGTCAAATAGCTCTCCCTAGCTCCGTCATTACGCTAAACAACAGCCACGCTTGGCTTCGTCTCCTGAACATTGGGTCGCCACCACAAGCTCTTCCCGAGGGCGTATCTCTTGCTGTGTTGTCCCTTTGGACGACTCCGTGGTATGCGAGCTATATAAGCCATGAATAACCATCAGCGTTTGCTCAACCTTCGGCTCCGACGATGCCATCTAATGAGACGTTCAACAAAATAGTAGCTGCTGACCTACAACCTTCTTACGCTGACGCCCTCCGTCGCGTTTTGATGACTTACGAAGACATATTTGATTTCGACAACCGCCCGCTAGGTTAAACCCATGCTGTTACTCATCCGATCCACACTGGAGACGCTCCGCCCATCCATAGGCGTCCCTATCGTGTGTTGGTGGCAGAACGTCACGTTATACAAACAGAGGTCGAGAAAATGCTGTCCAAGGATCTTATCGAGCCCTCCTCCAGCCCATGGGCGTCCGCTGTCGTTTTAGTAAAAAAGAAGGACAATACTTGGAGATTATGCATTGATTATCGTCATCTGAACAAGATCACGAAAAAGGACGTTTACCCGCTTCCGCGTATTGATGACGCACTAGACTGCTTACACGGTGCCAGTTATTTCTCATCAACCGATTTACGTTCTAGCTACTGGCATATTGCAGTCTATAACAGAGATCGCGAGAAAACGGCGTTTGTCACTCCAGATGGTCTCTACCGATTCAAAGTGATGCCTTTCGGACTACGTGATGCCCCGGCCACCTTCGAACGCATGATGGACTCTCTTCTACGTGGTTTTAAATGGTCCATATGCTTGTGTTATCTCGACGACGTTATTGTTTTTTCACCGACGTTCGACAGCCACCTCCACCGGCTCTCGGCCATCCTTGACGTCTTCTGACGAGCAGGCCTACAGCTGAATTCTGCGAAATGTCATTTTGGCCGTCGTCAGTTACGCGTCCTCGGTCACCTGGTGGACACTACTGGCATACAGCCTGAACCCAACAAAGTTCGTGCAGTCCACGAGTTTCCAACTCCTCGTACCCCTTCTGGTGTCCAAAGTTTTCTGGGGCTGTGTTCCTATTTCAGACAATTTATTGAGAACTTCGCCGAAATCGCTAGTCCTCTCACCGATATTCTTAAAAAGGACAGTCCTTTCATGGGGACCTGAGCAAGCTCAGACATTTTCCACGCTTACGAGTCGACTTGCGAATCCGCCAGTTCTGGGTCATTTTGACCCATCTGCACATGCGGAAGTTCGTACGGATGCAAGTGGTCATAGTATTGATGCTATTTTGTCCCAGCGACAAGGAGAGCTCAATCGTGTAATCGCTTATGCTAGCCGCCTTCTTTTAGCCTCAGAGCACCCATAGCATAGCATAAGTTTCGCCCATATTTGTCTGGACGGCATTTCACTGTGCTAACAGACTATCATGCCTTATGTTGTCTCTCCTCACTTAAAAATCCTACGGGATGCCTCGAACGCTGGGCTTTACGCCTTCAAGAATACACCTTTTCTGTGTCCTACCAGTGTAGTCTGGACGGCTACACAAGGACGCCGACTGCCTCTCCCGCTATCTCGTCTAACCACCTGACACCACCGAAACTGATTCAGATACCTGTGTTTTGTCGCTTAGCGATTTCGTACACATGACCGACGAGCAGCGCCATGAGCCATATTTGCGATCCCTTATACAACACCTCACTTCAACACCACGGGACGGCTCCCTGCGTATGTTTGTTCTGCATGGCGGTACTTTATATCGAGGCAATATGACACCACATGGTGCTGAACTGCATCTCGTTGTTCCTCAGCAATTTCAACCAACTATCCTCTCGCAATTACACGATCCTCCCACCGCTGGCCATTTGGGTGTTTACCGAACTTACGATCGTGTGCACAGACGTTTCTTCTGGCCTGGCTTATACCACTCGGTTCGGCGCTACGTCACTTCCTGCGAACTCTGCCAACGCCGCAAAAAGCCTTCTCTCTCTCCTGCTTATACCTTCAGCCCATACCTATCCCCAGCGAACCCTCCTTTCGTGTTGGCCTGGGCATCCTTGGTCCTTTCCCAACGTCGTATGCGGGTAACAAGTGGGTGGCCGCAGCGACTGATTATATACGACACGTTATGCCATTACGCGAGCCCTTCCTATACCAGCTGTGCAACCGATGTCGCTGACTTTCTTCTCCATCAAGTCATCTTACGCCATGGTGCCCGCCGTCAGCTACTAACTGATCGATGTCGATGTTTTCTTTCGAAAGTTGTCGATGGCCTTCTCCGCTCTTGTGCACCGTCTCACAAGTTCAGCACCGCTTACCATCCGCAAACAAACGCA